AAGGTAGTAATAAGAAAAATACCAAATTGAACATAAACTTTATCAAAATGCAATGATAGAACCGAAGACTATCCAATTTAGCAATGATGTCGAGTACATAAACAGCATAAGAGAGGCTACATTTCTATCGAGAAATTATCATGTATCGGTACTTTAATCTAGACAGGCAGTGTTCCACAACTCACCTCAAATGCTGTATCAAACTGTTCACATGGAACTGGTTCACAGTTTGGGTATGCCTTTTCTGCTGCAAACTCGCTATATGCACCTCGAACCCCCTATTCATTGAAAAAAACAAAGAGAAATTATTTAAGTTCACTCAAAAACATGGTCAAGGCATTGCTGCAGAAGCACGTGGTACCACATACGTTCATAGAACCTTAAGCTTCAAAGCTTGTACCTTGTATGGCAAGCATAATAAAAACTTTCAAGGTTAATCAATGTCAATACCTGGTAAGCAACACGGAGACGAGACCCTTCAGACGTCAAATTAGACAATTGGTCAGATGTTAAAGGCCCTGAAAATACAATTTCCAATCCTTTAATCCTCAATAAACATTAAAAATCGCAAACCCAGTAAAAGAACGAAACATACTCGGAAGTGAAGCGGTAGAATCTTTGGAATCAAATTCGCAAGTGGAGTCTTGAATGAGCTCCTGCAAGTCAATTGCTTGGAACTTTTTATTATTTTTGCTATTGGTGTTGCTGTAACAGGCGTGAAGAGGGATTTTAAGGCGTCGTTGGTAGAATTGTGTGGCGGTGACAGACTTTCGATTATGGATTTTGGTATCTGAATACAGAGATGGTAGTGGGGATCGCAAAGTTGTGACCGTCATTATTGAAATGGTACATGAGAGAGAGATCGCGCAGGAGGCTTTGATTCTTTTGAAGATGATAAAGGTCGATGCAGTCAACTAATTACCGTGAGCTGGAACACCGATTAATTTCGCCGTAAATTACGAATTTCCACGAGACAGTCCAGTCTACTGGTGGGCTAGGCCGGTGGCTGCCCAAGTTCGGTTCGACTCTCGACTCATTGGTCAACACGTTTGGATTGGAAGTTTGACCAAGAGGCCAGGCCCATGGGTCAGTGTAAGGTCGAGAAGGTTCACGAAATTACGAAAAAAAATTTAGGAAAAACAAAATTTTTTAAAAATTAAGCCCGTGGTGGATTAAAATTAATTTTTTTGTAAATTTTTATGGAAGTTAATAAAATATGTAGTTGAAATTATTTGCTGACTTTGATTCGAATTAAAATTTTGATTTTAATTTCCATCAAACAAGGAATATAATGTGGCTCAGGCTCCATTTGACAACCAAGCTAAAA